CGACCCTGCAATTTATGTAGCAGTAGTTCCAGGGAATGCATGACTACCTGCCAGCAGTCTGCAAATTATAAAAGCTAGGATTTTGAAAGATAAAGAGTACCTTATCATTCAAAGAACAGAACATTAATATATACAGTCTGACCGATCCCATAAGAGATTATATCAAGGAGAAGATTTTATTGCAGACTTGATCTCTGATATGCAAAACAAGAAGCTTTAGCTAAGAGCAAACCAGTGAGAGCTCCTTAAACATTGGAAGATCTTGCGAAGATAAAGTACACATGGAGAGTAGCAATGGAAAGTTTGAGACTGTTTCCTCCAATTCTTGGCGCTTTAGGAAGGCATCGGAAGATATCGGAAGAAACCCACTTCTCAATTTCTCTGGTATTCTTGCTTTTTCTTTTACCGTTTTGTTTACTTCATTTTGGAAATCCCGTTTTGCCACCATTTTTTTGGAATGGATATTAGCCAGCCTAGATAGTAAGGAACATCTCCCTGATGTTCTTCAGAGACAAGACAAACAAAAAGAGACCTACAAAGTCTGCATATATACATATACGCTTATGTTTTGTTTCTTTCAGTTTCTTGTCTCTCCTGTTGTAATATACAAAAACAGAGAAAAGTAAATATTTTGTATACACAAGAAATATGAAATTCACCGCATGAGAGTTATAAAAGAGTAAGTATAACAAACAAAAGAATTGGTGTAATACTTCAATCTCACATCGAAATATATTTACTTATTAATTTATATCATACTATTGATAATTTAAATTTTTAAAAGTATAAAAGTTTAGATTCAAAAAATTATTAAATCAGTAGAATGTAAATACGGGACATAACCAATAGTGTCAGAGTACAAATAGATCCAAAACATCATAAAAAAAATTCATATTTCAATTTTAACTCACAGTGATATTCTATCTAGCAGAATTTTACTAATGAAGTTTTAGGTAACTATTGCAGAAGTTTAATCTTATGTAACCATGAAAGTTTGTTAATAGCGTATGATATTTAATAATTATCATTCCAACTTTTCTTCACTAGATAATCATAAAAATTAATATTTTAAACTGTCAATCAGAATCAAATCTATACGTAAATAACATACAATTCCATAAGCAAACAAAAGAATGTCTTCATGATCAGACACCCATGTGTGTGTGTGCATATGTATATATATACAAATACATATGGGGTTTTCACTGCCCAATGACCCATCTTCTCACCCAGACAGGGACTTAACTCCAAAAATGAAAATCTCGTTTATCATTTTCGTCTTCTCGATCTCCATCTTCTTCCTCCTGAGAAGAAGATCATCAAAAAGGTTGCCTCCTGGTTCACTTGGACTCCCAATAATAGGCCAGAGCCTTATCCTTCTCCGAGCTATGAGAGCCAACACCGCAGAGAAATGACTCGAAGAAAGAATAATAAAATATGGACCCATATCAAAGGTGAGCCTCTTTGGCAAACCAACAGTCTTCATTTATGGACAAGCTGCGAACAAATCTGTGTTTACTTGTGATAGCAGCATAATTACTAACCAGCAAACCAAGTCAGTTCGAATGCTTTTGGGGGATCCATGTCTGCTAGATTTGTCAGGAGAAGATCACAAGCGTGATAGAGATGCTCTTGTGTCTTTCTTGAAGTCTGAATCATTGAAGCAGTATATAGGGAAAACGGAAGAAGTTCATGTTGCATATTGAGAAGCACTGGCAAGGGAAGGAAGAGGTCACCATATGTTTGGATAATAAGAAATCCATAAAAAATAGATATTTATAAAAGATTTAATATCATTTATTTTCAGATAAAAAGAATGTATTTTAATTTTAAACCACTTAGGAGGTGGCCAACCATTCAGTTAAAAAATTTTTATATTTAGGTTGGAAATCCAATGAATTTTCCAAAATCCTCCCACCCATTTATTTCATGTTCCGGAATTAAAGAATAAAAAACATGTACCCACTAATCTTTAATTTTAACCATATCCCCAACCCACCCTTCAAACGTTCTATTATTCCTTTTTTTTTACATCATCCAAAAATTAGTTAAATAAATGAGTTATACAATTCTTTCTTGTTATAAGTCTCACCTCAAATTCAAAGTTTATTCCTATTTGTACCCGCAATAACTCAGTTGATACCTAATAGTCCGTAAACCATGGTCTAAATATTACACTATTGGGCACAGAAAAGAATATGATTACAAAATTCTACCACTTTCTTGCACAAGTAACAACCATTAACCATGATTTTATTTATTCTCATCAACATGTTAATGGTAAGAATACATTCACAACTCGCTTCTGCTTACCATATGTATTCAATTTTGATAGAAAAGAAAAGGAGAACAAAATTGGAGCAAAGAGAGAGCAGCATGATAAAGAAAAGTTACTCTCTGAATTCACCTTTTACAGCTTATTGGAATACATATACTGTCATTTGGTGGTGTACAATAGCAGAAGAAAATAAAAATGATTACATTACAAATAACTAATTCTATTTTTGAGTTTAACAGAAACTAATCTTAATATATCTTCTAATTAATCTTAATATTCTCCATCAAGATAGAGAGTACAAATTTATTGTACCAATCTTATTCAATAAATTCTCGAATTGCGTAGGATGAAGTGCTTTTGTCATTAAATCTGCCAGTTGATTCCGAGTGGATATGTGCATCGTCTTCAAGGTACCATCTTGAATTCTCTCACGAACAAAATGACAGTCAAGTTCAATGTGTTTTGTTCTCTCATGATATACTGGATTTGAAGTAATGAGTAGAGCTGCTTGATTATTATAGTAAAGTAATGCAGGACTTTGATGTTGCACATTTAAATCTCGTAACAATTTCAGAATCCAAACTATTTCGCAAGTAGTGTTGGCCATGGAACGATACTCGGCTTCCGTAGATGACCGAGAAACAACTTGCTGTTTCTTTGATTTCTATGAGACTAATGAAGACCCAAGAAAAACACAATAACCAGTTATAGATCTTCTAGTGTCAGGACATGTGCCCCAATCAGCATCAGAAAAGGCCTTAATCTGAATGGTAAATGATGAAGGGAAGAAGAGACCTTGTCCAGGTGTCCTCTTGATATACTGAAGAATCTGCAAAGCAGCTTGAAGGTGACTGGTCCTAGGAGCAGCAAGAAACTGACTCAGTCTATTGACAGAGTAGCATATGTCAGGGCGAGAGATGGTTAAGTACAATAATTTTCCAATCAGTCGCCG